CCATATCGCAACTGTTCAATGATGGTATAGGTACCACTGAGGTCAGCACTGACGTCTCTAGAATCTCTCTCCTACTGTGCCTCTCATTCCTAAACCTTTTGGACAAGTCCGGCCTCTCAGGCTCTAAGTGCCTATAGGTCTCAAACCAAGGCCTCTCTTTTTAGAGCAGCGGCTGCCATCGAATAAGGTTCTCATTAGCATAAGTTACAGTCTCATGATACTCATCTCTGTCTGCTTCATTATCTGCATACCTGGTATCGCCTATCGAAATTGAAGTAACCGGTCTCCACTTGAGTTTTGCCTCTTGGCTCCATTACGAAGCCTTTTAGCTCACAATATTGTCTCCCTCTCTCATTCTGCATCTCTCTCGTTCCATATAGTAACACTTTAATAGTGGTCTATGTACCCCCATGGCGCCAACGCAACGTTCCAAGTCTCGCTAGATTCGCTTTGCCGCTTTAGCTCTCATTCTTAAACCGTTTGGACCAGTCCTGCCTCTCTGGTTCCAAATTCCCATAGGTCCCCAACCAACGCCTCTCTACTTTCTTGCATCGGCCGCCATTGACCAACATGCTCAATGGTAAAAGCAAAAACTTCAGGCTTGTTTTCGTCTGCTTCATTGTCGGTATGCTTAGCCCTCCATACCGAAAATGAAATTGCCGGTCTCTGTTTGAGATTTGCCTCGCGGCTCCACAACCAAGCTTTTCAGCTCACAATAATGTCTTCATCTCTCATTCGTCATTTCTTTCGGTCCATATAGTAACAGCCTCATAATGTCCGCCTCCGTACGATTCATTATCTGTATACTTGTTCCCCTTGCCGAAATTGAAATTTCCGGTCTCTGATTGAGTGTTGCCTCTCGGCTCCACTATCATGCATCTCAGCTCACATTAACGTCTCCCTTTCTTGTTTAGCCTCCCTTTTGGTCCATATCGCAACTATTCAATGGTGGTACAGATACCACTAGCGGCAGCACATCGGTTGCCGTACTAATTTTAGTGTTCACATCCCTGACTATCCGACTGATGGTTTTCTTATTCCACCAGATGCTGAGCACTTGAACTTCTTCAGGTCTCATCCACTCCTATGTTTAGCCATACTCTATTGTATACTGCTTCGGCACCTCTTCTGGTCAGCACAAACCTTGGGGTGAAACACTTAGCAATTGGCGGTGCTGTCTGTATTATTCCGTTACCCTTGCTCACTTCCGGAGCCGGCACTACTATCGTTTTCGCTCTAAAGCTGTCGCAAGTATTGCTGTCTGTTCTCTCTCATGCATTCCATACTGTACACCTATCTGACTATGCTGAGCCTAATAAAGCGTGCCGCTCCTGTATACCAATTAATCAGGCTGCCAGCAACTTACCAATTAGTGAGTTATAACTAGCAGTCTATTTGATTTCAATGTTCCACCGTGGATGTCCACATCAGAGTGGCACACGTAGCATCTTTTGCGGCTACTGCTCACACTACTGATATCCACGGTCCTTTTCAGCACTGGCTCTACAACCATTTTCTACCTACACCTGTAGTATTCAAGCCCCTCTCGCTCCTTTTATTATCGTTGAAGGACTGTCAGCGGGCAGTTTCTTCTTCATAATTAACCCGATGCCCAGGATCACCCTTTCCTGTCATCTATTTGGCTTTTTTTCCGCACTGTAGTCGTCCATATCTTTTTCCGCTATTCCAGGGCCCTTTAGGACAAGCCTTGCAACCGTATTGTCGCTACAGCTGTAGTAAATAAACCCTATTCGCGTCACGACTTTGACATACCGTCTCACCCCTTCACCCCGCTGTTTAGCATCCGCGTACTGTACATCTTAGTTATTATTTGCATGGGTCTCAAACCCGGCGTACTAACTTTACTGGCTCTCATACCTGTTCGAATGATAAGCTCTAGCACTGTCAACCGATCGCTCAACCTATATCTCAGATGCACATTAAAACACTCACTATGTTCATTTGATTCCCTCAACACATTTACCCGTTAACACCGCCTGATACTCACGGTTTCCACACAGGACAACTTTCGAGTACGCTAGGCTAATTCGGACAGCATCTTCCTCTCACCTTTAGCAAATATTTGGTCTCGTGCATGCACGCAAAACTACGGATATGATGTATAGCATATACGGTCACTCCATTGCTTTCAACCAGCACAACGTTACCATAAATTTTATATTTAGACATTAACATAGTCCTATCCCATTTCCTTGACAGTTTGCTCGGTCCGTTTTTCTTCCCTCCATTGTTCTAAAGGATAACATTAACTGCACGGAACACCGCTGAGGACATATCTGCGTAGCTGCAATGGACACGGAATAAATACAGAACAAAGAAATCACCCGCGCTTTGTAATCCTGACACACCAGAAACTAGAAACCTAATCAAATCAATACAAGTCACCTGAGCCATACGACTTGGACGACTCCAACCACTTGCGGTCGACTAAGAAGGAGACTACACAGCCTTGGGAAACAGGTTGGCGGAACGTGACTGCAAATATCCGCGAGGGTAATCGGTCAGATGCAATCTTGTCATTATCATATCACCAGTCGGCAGTGTTCCAGGACGTGGTGGGTCTTATTCTGGCAAGCATTTTCCCCACAAAAAGCCACAGATGTCTGTTTAACAACACTGCAACGTGGCGGATGTGACTCGTCACGCAAAATAGTCACCGCCCCTAATACACATTAGCAAGTTGACCGGTATCACACTTGCAAAGTCTGTGCAGATATCTGCTATCGCACGAACCCGCCTACGTATTTGATTAGCGACATGCCACTATTCTTAAATACTTTTGCAGCTTTTTCCTCATCCTTCACTAACCTGACCCACACTGTGTACGCGACTCATCGGACTAGTTCCTCATCAACATACCACATTAGAGATCTGAGTATTATTTCTATATCTCGCATTCTGTAGACATAGATTTCATACAACCTTTGGGTCATATGGGCCTACACCACTGTCTCTAACTCTACCAATCCCGCCGTTGGTGCTGCTAATTCTAAATAAATAAATAAATAAAGTTTTTATTCTCGACAAGGCGAGGCACGCCTTTACAGGCATGATCATTATGACAACAATGCGTGGTCTAGAATGTGCAAGAATACGTTATGTTTGCCGTACCAGTGTACGTTTATGTAGGGGGTATGTAACTATGTAACTGTGTGTGTGTGGGTGTGTCACTGTGAGGTTCCCGCTTTTAACTGTGCTGCTCTAACTTTGACTCTCATATCCTCGGCAATGCTTGAGTAGAAGATGGATGTCCGTGCGTTGGAAAGGATTATTCGGATACCCACGGAGCAGTGACTTTATTTTGTGGCGAGTCACGACCGCCACGTCACAGTGCTGTTAAGCAGACATTTGTGGCTTTTTATAGGGAGAACGCTTGCCAGGCGAAAACCCACCACGTCCTGGAACACTGCCGCCGAACTATTTGCTGGAACGGGTCAAACCCGAACCACCCAGCTGGCACCACGAGGAGGTTGTTCGGCTAGCCAGCTATCCTGTACAATATTGCAATATGCTGATCCTGCTCAAAGGCGTGCCTCGCTTTGTCGAGAATAAAATAATTATTTGTTTATTTATTTAAACTGCTTAATGGAATGGGTACATCTGGCAACCGAATTTTTTTCATTGCGCCATTATCTGTCGATCCTCTTGATCCCAGCATCTCTATTTAGTAGCCACTAGTGGTAGTACGCTCCAAGCAGCTCTGCGCATATCCGGAGCTTGCTATGAGGCACTCACTCTTACCTCCAACCTCCATTCTTTGGGACTGTCTGCGTCACATAACTTTGCTGTTTGTTGACTTATTCTGGGACAGTGTAGGTAGCCACTAGCAACTAAAAGACTTCAGCCGAACGCCATTGCTAGCCGTCGATACTCTCTCCCCCTTAGTACCATTATCAGTTCCTCGTATTAACTACGTGAATAATTTTCAGTTGCAGCGAGTCATGGTAGGTAGCATACAGCTTTGCGCTAGAAGCCACTCCTTATCTCTCCAACACTTACTCTCTTGAATTGCTTGCATCACATACCTTCGCTGGTTCCTTGACTTATTCTGTCACTGTAGGTATCCACTAGTAATTGGTAGGCTTAATCCGAGTGCCTTTGCTGGCCACTGATAATCTCTGTCCTAGCGCCGCCATCTCTCGCTCTTCTTATCTTCCTCATCACGTTGCAGCCATTCGCCGTGGGCTCCATGTCCCTTCTGAGCAGATCTTGAGCCTGCTAAGATACACTCCTTGTCTCTCCATCACACATTCTCTTGTACTGTCTGTATCACTTACCTTCGCTGGCTTGTTGATGCATTCTGTGACCCTGTAGGCATACACTATTGACCAAGCGTCATATTGGAAGGGCTACATCCGGCCACTGGTAGTCTTTCCTAGCGCCACCCTCTGTCGGTTGTCTTAAATTCGGCACCTCTGTTTAGAAGCAGCTAGTGGTCGTAAGCTTCATACGTATGCGTTTATCCAGTGCCTGTTAGAAGCCACTCCGTATCTCGGAAATCGTTTTTTAGACTAAATGCATCCAATCTTTCCGCTGGCTTACCACCAACTGACCTTTAGCTCTTGCGGCAAGCTATTTATTTTTAAGTTTCTTTTTCTGCGCTCCCTATGGTATTGGGCTAGCTACTTGCTCGTTATACACCTTGCCATCACCATCAGTCTTCTAACTCTCTTTGCTCTTTCCCCGTGCAATTTTTGCCTCACACTAAACTGATACTTCATGGATTACTTACTGGTACAACGCTCTTGTCTCTAAGCGGACGTTACCTATCTACCCATACAGCTAATGATTCCATGGGCATTCAAAAGGCATTTTCAGCAGAATCATTATCGCACAGAGTACATGCAGTTGTCTCACCTCCAAATGTTGTAACATAAGATTTTAACAATGTTTATCTCCACGCCAGCTTTAACGGTTTTCTCTCGGTTCATGTTCAAGTTCAGTTGGGACCGGAACGATAGGATAATCCCGTGAATGTTTCTTCTTTTGCGTATCGTCGGATCGGGAATTGACAGGTCTGCTTGAGATGTTGAAAAGCCTAAAACAAAGACCGCATCACACCCTGTCCAACCAATTACTGCCCACATTTTCCTGCCCAGCAGTCCCTGCCAGGCCGGCTTATGTGAAGTAAAAGAGTGAAGGATAAGCTAAGAAAACAAGAGGAGGAATGTCCGCTAAATAATGATAACACCAAGGTGAGAAGAAAACTAAAAAAGAACGAAGGGAAAGTTGAAGATACAAGTCGGTTAGGAGAAGGGGAAGGTTTGGTACTGCCACCCAAGAGCATCTAACTGACGCTCGAAACCCTCTACCGTAGACTCCCTAACCACATGCGCCGGAAGCGAGTTCCAACGTTCAATAACTCGACGCGACAAGCGAGTTTCCGTCCTTACCCGGTCAGAACGCTGTTTGTGCAGCTTCAACTGGTGACCTCGGAGATTGGGAACCTTGGCGGGACTAAATAGCCAGGACAAGTCTGGACCGATCTTACCCGTTAAGATACGGTAAGTGAGGATCAAGGCTCCTCTAATTCTGCGGTAGTGCAGTGAGTACATACCCAAGCTAAGCAAACGTACGGGATACGTTTGCCCCCGTAATCTTTGCACTAACTTTGTACCCACTTGCAAAACCCTCTCTAGTTCCATTTGGTCCCTTACAAGACAAGGTGGACAAGCCTGGATACAGTACTCTAAGTGAGGTCGCACAAAAGCTGAGAACAGCTTCACAAAAATATTGGCTGTTAGGACACCGAAGGAGTGGCGAATAAACCACATCATACGGAACCCTCTACAAGCAGCCTTCCTCCAATTTTCCCAAGAGTGAAGCAATGAGGTATGGGTGGTACCTAGATCAACCTGCTGAATGACAACAGGGAGTTCACTTCCACCAACAACATAGCGCGTGGGAGGACTAGCACCTCCAACGCGGAGGACAGAACATTTCGCCTGATTTATGGGCATCAACCATAAGGTTGCCCAATCCCAGAGCCTATCCAAGGCAGTCTGAAGTGCCTCAGAGCCACCAGGGATATCCACAATATTCCAGAGCTTGAGGTCATAAGCAAACAATAGCGACGGTACTCCAAGCTCCTGGGGTAGGTCATTGACAAATTGCGAAAAGCAACGGCCCTAGAACCAAGCCCTGCGGAATGCCGTCAAGAACAGCTTGTCTAAGCGAAAGGCTATGCCCCACGCGTATACCCTGCTCTCTCCCCTCTAGGAAAGCAGAAACCCATTTAAGGGCGGCTCCAGATATCCCATACGATCTCAACTTCAATGAGAGTCGTTGACGTGGGACAGTATCCAAGGCTTTCGAGAAGTCAACGAAAAGCTCGTGGATGACGTGACCGTCGTCTATTGCCCCAGCCAAGCTTTCAGGAGTTACAAGTAAATTTGTCAGACATGAAAATTCCTTACGCAATCCATGCTGGGCCGCACTGAGAAGGTTAAACTTAATCAGGTGATTCTCTACCAATTCTCTGACCAATTTTTCAAACAACTTAACTACTACACTTGTTAAGCCAGTAGTTCGCGGGCAGAACTCTGTCCCCGCCCTTAAAAATCGGACAGATGATTGCCTTCTTTCATTCCGAAGGCACAGTTATCGAGTGATATTGTAAATATGCATGTCAGAGGGCCACTTAGCTCAGCGGCCAATTCATGCATCAGCTTCGGATGAATTGAATCGGAGCCAAAAGCTTTGGAAGGATTTAGCCCTTGTACTAGCCAGAAAACGTGTCTCCGTTATGCTGATTTCAGTTAGGCAAGAAGTCTCTGGAACTTTTGTGACCAGTTCAACCTGAGGTAGAGAGACCTCGTGAGAAAAGACGCCAGTATAATATTCGGTAAATATACAATTCATATCATGGTATGCCCACGGGTCCCTTCCGCTCGTAGTAAAGCCGGTAAGGACGAGTTTGTACCGCTACGTCTCTTTAAGTAACAACATTACTAAGCACTACCCGAAGAAACTTGGCATGACCAGCCCTGGATCGTACGCTACCAGGAGGGGTACTAGTAGGACAGAATTTGACTTCCGGCTGACCAACTAAAAACCCAGAAGACGATGGCCTTGCTCATCAGCCGCCCGCCTGCTCTTGAGGCTTTTGATGGTTTTCTTTAACTTTAGTCGATCTTCCAGTGGGAGGTCCGGCTGAACGCTGACATTACTATCCTTGAGTTTGAATGCAAAGCGCAATAACGCTTTGCGTTCCTCCGGGGTTGAGAGGACTACACGAAGTAGTCGGGGTCGCGGATTTGGCGTGTCTACAGGGACGTTCCCCAATTTGGTTAGTTTTCTGATAGTGACACCTGGGAAACCAGGTGGAAGCATCTTGTTGACGCAGAGCTTGAACTACTGGAGGTCATCCAGCATGCGTTCCTTTGCAAGAGCTGCCGGGGATTCAGCAACGTTACGAAAGATCACGCTACGGTCAGTAAAAGAATCAACTTGACGCGACGTATTCCCTCCACCCGTCTTTGTCGCGATCCCAGTTTCGACCAGTTTGGCAGATGACACGGCGCGTTTCTTCGCCAAGCGAGCTGGAGTAATTGCGGTTGAGTCTTTATGTTCTGCTTCCAACTACCTCACCGGTCTAGTCTTTTCAGACTTTGCGGGTGTGACCGAAGTCGACACGACGCGTTGCTTCACCAATGGAACTAAGGTGATTGGAGTTGGAGCTTTGTGTTCCCCTCCAATACCTTAATGCTTTCAGTACCTTCAGGCATTGAGGCAGCCTTACGGACTTTCTTAGCCCTTTTCCTCTTGCTTTTATTGGGCCCAGGGGCCATAAGTTCGGTCTCGCGTCGACGGCTTCCAGTACGGCATCAGATGCCCCTTTAGAGGCATTCTAGACCGCTGGGACACACGACACGGTAGCCATCACCTCAGTCGGATTTTCATCGACAACAATTGAGGTTAGTTGCGTGTCTTCCTCCAATGAGCCGACATCAATAGAGACTCCCATATTCCTCATCAGTAACTCCACTTTCCGATCAAGAGATGTGAGGAAGAACCACAAATGCTGGTTACCCAGCCCGGCGTTGTTCGATGTCTCCTCATTGACCTCAAGACGCGACGGCGACGGCATAGAAGACAATTGAATAGCATGCTATCGCTAGTCGAAAGCATTGCGTACTGATCAGAGCTCAAGTCGGTACAGGTATCATGGTACCAGCAGTTGCATACATAACACTGCATGCCACCAGACTCATCCGTCACGGGCTTTGAGCAGCTCCCGCTGCCGCATACAGCATTAGATTCGCTGATCAATGCAGCCGAAGACACATTAGCGCCGGTATTCAGTGAATCCGACATGACGCTTTCAAAGAGTGTGAAACAAGTATCGAAACGTAAAACCGACAAGCTGTTACCTGCAGGACAGTCAACAGAAACAGTTATGGGTTAAAACAAGGTGCAAAACGGATTACAAAACACAAAAATTACCGGAAAGGTAGCCAGATGCTGAATCCAAAAAAGATGGACGAAGTTTGTTAAGTACCCGAAATGGGTGCCATGTAATCCGGGGAAAACGGTGATCCAAACTTCTTTGGATCAAGCGAAATTTGACGAAAGTCAAATGGTGCATGGTTGTACACCAAATGGACTCAACTGCAATCATCACAACCGTTGTCTAGTATGGAGAGCTGGACACATCTTCACACTCCCATAAAGTATACATCTGAAAAATCCAGACAGCAGAAAATTCGAACTTTGCTCACCTGGACACGCAACAAGGCGACTCCTTACGATGTTCCTATCCTCAATCGACCTCAACAATTATGGCGCACCCAATCAAATTAGCTGTCCAACCAACAGAGGATATTAGAAGCCATTTGATTGCAAATAATCGAATATGAAATCAGTCGTCAAGCTGCTTTGCCAGTTATATATTATTGTTCAAAATGCTTTACGGCAGTGTTGCCGGACGTGGTGAGTTTTTGCCTAGCAAGCGTTCTCCACAAATGTCTGTTTAACAACCCTGTGACGTGGCGGATGTGAGTCGCCACTGCATAGTCACTGCCCACAACCACATACTGGCAAGTCGACTAGACACATATTTCAACTTTTCCCGTCACGGGCAAGAATATACTCTCCGTCTACATGAACCGTTTCATTGCACTTATAGTGCGTTGACCGTTTCAACTACACACGATGGAACCCGAAGTATCGTTATGATACACAACTGCCTATAAACCTTGGTGTGTCGCTATAACTTTGAGAATAAACTTTGTATTTTATTTTATTTATTTATTTTGCGGGCAAAAATAATCACTACTTGCTGCTTGTAGAATTACGTCGCAGCTGCTGAGTACAATTTTTTCACATGCTCCTCTATGTCAGCAAATTTAAGGGAAAAGGAACGCAACTAACGCAAAAACGTATCCATATCGTTGGCCATGATTACCGCCGCTAACGTAGCGCCACAGCGGTTTATTGCCCATTGTTATCCACTTGAACAACCACAGAGTAGTTTTATTTGCCATCCATTTAAATCATCATCTAGACAGAGTTGCCATTTACATATTCCTTTTATACATTTTTGCCTTCACTGTCAATCTAACCAGCCGGAAGAATGTTAGACGACCAAGTTATCCTAGAACGACTGATCTCTGTGTTATTCGACGAAGGCAACCAGGGAATCAACATTACCACGGCGTTTGCATAGGTAGGAAACAATAAGATTCCCTCAAGGCTGGCCCCCTTAAGGTTGTGTTCCAAGATGAGGAGGAATATCGGTGCATTCTCCTACCGACCTCACGTCTCAAAGGTAAGCCGTTTAATGTATTGCGAGATCTCTCCCCAGAAGATCGGAACAAAATGAGAAAAGCTGTTCATGAGCTGAGGACCCGTTCGGCGAGTGGTGAAACAGACCTTCACATCGTGGATTTTTACGCATTTCGAAAACTCTGAGAACTCTTTGGAGGCCGATTTTTGTCATCCCAGGACAGTAACGCAAAAGAACGGACTGCGTGTGCTGTGCGCTAATGTTTGTAGTCCGTAAAATAAACTTGAGATCCAGAGGCTTGCCGCAGAAGGTTGTCCTGCTTTAATGGCCTTCAATGCAACACGGTTATTCCCAAATATCATTGACTCTGAAGTATCTATCCCTGGATAACACCTTTCTCGGGGCGATCGTCATGCGAAGAACTCGGGAGGCGGAGTAATACTCTACTGGAGGGCGGATCTGAAGTCCCATCTAGTTGAGGTCTCAGGTGATAATGACAGAGTGTTCAATGCCCTTTGGTGTTGCATTCATGACGGGTGCAGATCTTCCTTGATTAGAGTCATCTACAGAGCGCCACTGGGACCAGGAGCTCGCCCGTTAGAAAAGAGCAAGAAGCAAAATGCTAGAAAGGCTTATCTTATTCGGGAAGCTTTTGATGCACCTAACATCGACTGGGACCTCTTTCTTTGCAATCGTCCACCTGATTGCTTTGATGCCGCCTTCCTTGAATCTGTTCTCGGCTGCAGCCTGTAGCAATTTGTCTCCATGCGGACTCGTATTCACGCCGGCCAGTTGCGCCATATCCTGGATCTTGTGATCTCCCCAGCGCAGTCAGACGTCATGGACCTAACTGTCTTTCAACCGATTGGTAAAAGCGATCCTTGTACTATTTTATTCCATTTACAACCCATGTG